TAATTTATATATAATACTAAACAGACGATAGCAAACTCAATTTAGCCGCTCCGTAGCGTGGCGCAGGGTCGGAGGAAAGTAGTTCGGCTGCTCATCCACTATTGGTCCAGACTCTATCAATCTTGTCGCGAAACGACGTTATAGGAGGTACGTTATACGAAAGTTGCTACAATTTTTTCGCTACGTTATAGGAATTGTCGTTATAGGAACATACGTTATAGGGGGGTCGACTGTAGTACATTTATATTGTTTGCAGAAGGATAAGTTAAACGTAAAAATATTTCCCAATAATTTTTTTCATTGACTATTTTAATTTTTTCATTCTTAATGTAAAAGGATTTAACTTTTTTTGAGAGATTATTTCCATTTCTGAAAATCATAATTTCTGATTTGACAGGATTTATTTTTACTTTTAAATTGTCTAGATATTCAGTTATCTGTATGATTTTTCTCTTTAAAGCTATTGCAGTAAGAGCTAGTATTATTATGTCATTTGCATATGAAATTGAGTGAATACATAAATTATCTATATAGATTCCATCATCTTCCCTTAAAAAACATTGGTTTAAGTCGAATAAATAGAAATTAAATAGAATTGGAGATAAGGGATTATCTTGTAATAGTCCTCTACTATTTGTAAACGAATTCCAGCATATGTTGTTTTGTTTAATAATCGCGTTGTAGTTACCATATAATTGACCAATTATGTTAATTAAGCAATATCTTGCATTATGTTTATTTAATTTGTTTTGTAGCAACTTTATACTAACAGAATCACAAGCTTTTGTTAAGTCCAAGAATATTGCAAAACCCTTCTGTCTTTTCTTTAATAATTGTATTTGAATTGTTGTCAGTAAAACAAACAAGGATTTTTGAGTACCACCATTTTCTATATATGCATATTGTGTTGGATTTTTGTAATTATTTACCTCTATCCATTGTTTAAATTTTTCTGCCAAAATTGCTGTAAATACTTTTCTAAAACTGGATAATAAGGCAATCGGTCTGTAATTATTTTGGATATTAATTTTTGGTAATTATCGATCGGATTGTTTTTCTCCTCCCAATTTATCAATTCGGCTGTTATAGAGTCAACTCTATTTAAACATAGTGTTTTATCAATTTTAAAGTTACATTTTTTCCTGACATTTGCTATATCATCCTTTTTATATATCTACCTGTATCCAACTCAGTAAGCTGTGTGAGTCATACAGGAAAATGATCTGAGATATCTTCATCAAGTACTGTTAAAGTCTGACAATGTTCAATTAAGGTTTGAGAACATATAATAAAATCTACAATTGATTTTCTATTTTGAGATATGTATGTACCATCCATTCTGCCATTGAGTATAACAAATTGGTTTTCCTGAACAAATTCTAATAGAATTTTTCCTTCACTGTTTAAAATTTTATCCTTGGACTGTCTGTTGTTGTTAATATTTTCATAATTTAAATATATCTTTGTGTCCTGCATCTCATCTATTCTTGAATTGAAATCTCCTCCGAATAACCATAAGTGTATTGAAAAGGCCCATCTGTCCATCTGATGCTGGATTTCATTAAATATTGGTTTCCTCTTAATCACTGGAGGGGGAGGTATTTCACAATTACTCCTAGATAAGATTCATTCCAAGCTGTTTTGAGTTGCTTATTAATTCTTATTATCACTAGCATATAGTATGTTGTTATATTTTGATATATAATTTCTCCAAAATTTCTTATTATAATAAGAAGTATGCCTCCCAAAGAGCGCTCAAATTTGTTTGTTCGATGAACATTACTGGACACTAACATGTTATCTTGTTCTAGATAGTTTTTATCTGGAAACTGTAGTCTCTGTTAAACCCATAATTGTATTAGAGTAAATAAACTGTTTTGTTAGTGTTTGAAATTTTCCTTTGAGGCCTTGACAGTTCCAAAAACTAATCACAAGGTTATTTAGTTTTATATCGGACTTAATTTTATTAGTTTGACAATAGTTGTATTTATTTAAGTAGAATTTCTTTTCAGTTTTATTATCATTATTCTTATTATTTGGATAATTATCATGGATGCCAGACAATTTGTTTGTTGTTACTACTGCTTTTTTTGCGAATATTTGGTAGTTTGCCCCAAAAAAGAATTAATTATTATGATTTCACTATTGTTAATGTCAATCATGTATATCAGATTATCTTTTATAAAATAGTAATCTCTAATTACCACTCTGGTGTTAGTCGAAAATTCTGATTTAATTTTATTGATTAGTAGTTTTCTTCTAATTCTAGATCTAGTACAAAGATCTGTTTTTATGATAGTTTTTTTCAACTCTTTTTTTTATATTTGATCTCATTGTCCAGAATCTTTTAAGTATTAAATTTCTATCTTTGACCGAATCTGTTATTAATTTTATAATTTGATTATTTGACCTTCTTTTAGCTAATTGAATTAGACCTTCTATTTCTATGTCTTTTAGGTCAAGATCTACCCTTAATGAATTTTTTGAGTTCTTGCATCTTATCATCAGTTTTAAACGGAAAATTAATTATAACAAGATTCCTTTTAGTGTCTTCATTATGTAATTTATCTAATTCGAACTCAAACATACCTTTTAGGTTTACACAAGTCTTTGTTCTATCTTCACATTGCTGAATTTTTTGCATAATAGTTTTCATTTCTTCTCTGATTTTCTTATTATCTTCCTGTACACAACTTATGTCTTATCTCATTGAGTGAATTTTTTGATTAAGTAGTTCAAATTCCTTTTGAATTAAATTATAGATTGATTTTAAGGAGTATCTCGAATCATTATCACTTAACTGGTCGGGTTGTTCCGGTGTTTCGAAATAATTCTCAATCCTAGATTTATTAGTGGTGCTTTTGTTATTTTTCATATCTTCGTCAGAAATTCTTTGCCAATAATATCCACTAGCTGGCTTGTATCTTCAGAATTCTGTGTGTATTCCTTTCTAGATCTTCCACGTCCCCTTTTTTGCATGTTGGTTTGACTTATCTTGACTGGTGAATGTTGCAGAGGGCCAGGATTTATTTCAATACCAGCCATTACCAACAACAATAAAATTAGAATTAATGGTAACAAGTTCATTATTAACCTTTTGGCACTAGAAATTATTGTACTGTCTAACATTTCACAGGAAGATGTTGTTTGGAGAAGGTGAGTAAAAAAAGTCGCCAACACTGATGATGGCTAGAAGCGCTCCCCATTTGCAAAGCATTTAATTTTAATTAAAAGCTTTGCAAATAATCAACTTTAATGCCACTAGACAGTTTGCTTTATTTTTATTCATTAGAACAGGTTGTAGGTAAAACTGAAGATGGCTTAATGGAAGTTAAAAACATTCTTATAAATAAAATAGTTACCTTAACAAGCAGTATGAAAGCATTTTTGTTATGATAATTTAATTATTATTAAATAGTAAATTAAAGAAATTTAATTTAAAGTAACTTCAATTAATTAATTTAAGAACTGTTTAAGATTTCTAATTCTAAAAATTGAAATTTTTAATTATTATTATTTTATCTAAAATACAGTACATGATTAGTTGTTATTGTCTTTCATTATAAGCTATACATTATTCTGATTAAGTAAAGCTTACAAAGAGATTTTATATCATATATTCTTATTGCTAAAGTGCAAAGAATACAGTGACTAAAATTAGTTATTACATAGAAGATTTAAATGAATATTTTTAATTGTGAAATTAGATTGTTTTTATATAGGATCTGAATTATTCATTTTAATTTTTCTTTATTTTATTCTTTATATATATATATATATTTATTTATTTTGTAGACATGAGTGTCTTAGTGTTTTATAAATTTAAATTGAAAATGATAAAAGTTCTATCATCCAGTGTTAGTGCAAAGAAGCACAGGAATCATAATAATCACTTTTATTTTAAAAAGAAATAAGTTAATCAACAAGTTTTAGGTTATTTTTATGTTAATCCTTTTCATTATTAATAAGTATTAATATAGTGCATTGTAATTTTTATTTTAAATTCAAAGTACAAAACTTTTCTAAAATTTAAATATGGAATGATCAAAAAAGTTTATAAAAATGGGGTGATAAAATTGGCTTTGTAAAGTAATACAAAGCAATTAACATAAATATTTTTATTGCAGAAATGAAAAATACAGATATATTTAAAGACAATGTGCTGTTTCTGTACAAAATCAGAAATTCATTGTATGTAATGAACTTAATTTATCCTAGCTTCAAAAAACTCTTGTCCTTGTATTGCAGCTACCTAGCAACAACTCTCACTTTTGTAATCAGTGGTTTTTTTTAGTATGTTCTTTCAAATATAGTAAAATGTAAAGTCAGAAAGGACTGTGTGGAAGATGATGAAAAATCTTCCATCAAAATGTCTGCAGTAAATTCAGTGTGCCACATGTGGTTTAGCATTGTTATGGCATGACATTATACTTCAACTAAATAATCCAGGATGTTTTCTTCTAATGATCTCTTTCAAGCATGTTGCAATATGAAATGGCATTAATAGTATGTTTTATTTTGAAAAAAGTCTATCAAAAGAATACCCATTGAATTCCAAAAGACTGTAGTTATAACTTTTTCAGCAGATTAAACTTAAACTTTCATGTTCATGGTAAAGACGACTGTTTCCATTCTGCAGAGGCAACATCTTGAATGGGTGTGAAATGTCTTTGTCTTGTCACCTGTAATAATTTGCTGAAGAAAGTCATTTTCTTGCTTGTAATATTTCATGAAATTGAGACATGCCATCACTTGTGAGTTTTATTGTTAGATGTTAATACATGTGGACAGGAGCATTCCAAATAATTTTGGCACCAGGTAGCACCAAGTATTTATATTTCTATAAATATTATGACATTTTTTTTATTAGTTTGACACCTGAGGTAGTTAGTTACCTTTACACTTCATCTATCAGCCTATCTGAATATATGGCTGTGCTAGCCCTGCATTTAGACATACTTTCCATATTCCATACTAAACTGAAAGAGAGTTTGCTGCAAAGTGATATTCCTATCATTCATTCCTGACATCTTGTTAAATTGATAATGGATTTCAGCTGGTGAAATCTTTTTGGCTCACAAAAGTTGAATAATTGCTCTGATTTATTCACAAGATCACTTTTCTAATATTTTTTTGTCATTTGGAGATGCTGCATCATAACTGTTTAGTGTTGCCAATCTGGATTATTTCTTGCATTCTACAATTCTTGAATTTTACACACTATTTTAAGTTACTTTTTGATCATCCTATATGCATTGTTCATATAAGCATACAAAAAAATTATATATATATATATAAAATAAAGGTCTAAAGCATAGCTAATATTAATTAATTTTACTTTTAGCTCAGAGTGTTTTTCTCCTACTATTAATAGAAATCTTAAACCGGAAGAAATCAGTGCTGCTAGATTAAGAAATTTGCAACCTGTGTATGGAAATCAGGTAAGTTCTAAAAGAAGTGATTATATAGGGTTGTTCGGAAAGTAATTTTGTTTTTTTTTTTACCTCTTGATGGATTAGTCGTATTTTTCTCGCCATTTTCATTTTAAACTGTATTATCATTATATATTTTGACAGCTAGCATTTTAAGGCTTGCTTGTAAAAAATTTTGTTTGATTTTGTGCAATTGTTTATTTTTTGTGTTCCATCAAATATGGAAGATCAAAAGCAGCATTTTCGACATATTTGCTCTTTTATTACTGAAAAGGTAAGAATGCTGTTCAAGCAAGAAAAAAATTATGTAATGTGTATGGAGAAGATGTATTGACAAGAACAACAGTACCAAAACTGGATTACAAAATTTGGTTCTGGCAATTTCAATATTGAAGATACACCACATTCTGGATGGCCAGTTGAAGCCAATGAAAACAAAATAAAGGTACTGATTGAAGCAAACTGTCAAATAACAACACGTGAAATCACTAAGAGATTAAATTTGTCAAATTGAACTGTTTATGATTACTTGAAACAAATTGGTATCATTTCAAAGCTTGATATATGGGTTCCACATGTTCTTAAAGAGAGATGCTCTCTTTGGTGGGATTTTAAGAAAAATTTTTTTTGGAGCTTTTTACTAGACAATTTAACAATTGATTTGAAAGTGTACTGCCATTGAGTAAACAAATTGAGTAATATCATCAAACAGAAAAGGCAGCCAGACTTGATCAACAAAACAGGTGTAGTGTTTTACCATAATAATGTCAAATTTCACACAAGTTTGGTAACTCATCATAAACTGTTATAACTTAGATGGGACGTGCTATCACACCAGCCATATTCACCAGATCGAGCACACTCAGATTATTACTTGTTCCGTTCTATACAAATTTTTTTTAATTGTAAGACATTTACTTGAAATGACAATGTCAAAAATCACTTGGATCAGTTTTTTGTAAGCAATGATCAAAACTTTTATGAATGTGAAATCATGCTATTACCAGAAACGATAACAACAGTTATCTAGACAATAACTAGATAAATAACTATAGTGTATTTTTTTATGAGATAGATGGATTAATGAATTCATACAAGAATAATGTTGTTATATCTTAAGTATTTAACTTCATTAACACAAAAAATAATAATAAAAATGTAAAAAATAATGAATTATAAATGATAACATCTAGACCAGGGGTCCACTGGGGTCCACAGAAGAAAATATGGAATTGGGGTTCACTGTGATATTTTAGTGGTCTATAGGGTAATTCTACTTCAGAACAATTATTTTACTGAAAATTAAATTTATACTGTATATTGTCAATTTATTTATTACTCATTTCTTGCATAAGGATTAACATATAAATTATTTAAAATATTGAATACATAAATGACATACATATCTCATTGACAAAGGTCAAAGAGAGATTATAAAACCAGGGTCTATTAGGAGAATCTTATACCATCAGCATCATGTCACTTGACAGTGACATTTCTGAACGTTTTGTGTCAGTTTGTTCCAGATCTTGAAGATTAGCGAGGGAGGCTATAAACTTTATAGCCTCCCTCCAGTATAAAGGTAATCAATTTATTTTAACCCTAACCTTCAGTTCTGTGCAAAACTCCATCTTGACAAGGTAAGAGATATTAAATACAGTAGATACTTTTTCTGAAATTCAGAGCTTCAGTATGAAAATATTTTTCCAATTTGAAACAATGTAACAAAAAAATATAACATTTTTTTCTGTGCAATGTATGGAGAATAAACAAAAAAAAAATTAAGAGGAAAAGGGGTCCATGGGTAAAAAAAAGGTTGAAAACCTCTGATCTAGGCAGACAAATAATAAAAATAGTAATACTGCAGTTTTGTATAAAATTATATGTTATAAAAAACTGTTCAGTTAGTTAGATTTGTAAAATCATAATCATTCATACACAGTATGGCAATTAAATAATGAGACTGATATTTTACAAGACAAATTATCTGTGACATCTATCAATATATATCAGTATTTTAGCATTTAGTGTGATTGATGACAGTACAACATTGCAATATTTTTGAAATTTTTTATCTGCCATATTGATAATTGTGTGTTCTATGGTCACAAAACTACTATGAAGTTAAATTTTGCTTTTGAGATTTAAAAAAGTATATCTGTTACCGCTAAAGTTCGGAAACTCGTTAATCTGCAGATTACCTAGCGTGATCCGTAAAGTTGCTAAAATTGTTCTATTTCTCAAATTACCTAGGTAATGTGCAGATTATCTAGGTAATCTGCAAATTACCTACTAAGCACTCAGTAAAGTAAAAATAAGATCTTTGCTGAAACAACAGCAATGTTTCTGTACGCTTAAATTAACATAATGTTCTTTATTTTATTTTCGATATCTAAAGAATCAAGTTAATACAATCAAACAATTGACAAATTAGTTGATAGAATCAATCATCAACCAATTAAAAAACACAAAAAATCAAACAATTTAAAATATTAATACAGTTAGGGAAATTATTATATAGATAACCCCACCTATGGAATTTCGGGACTTTGAGTATCTATCTGAACTGAGGGGACCGAGACGACTTCAACGATACCCTACTTTTGGACCGGAGACGAAAAATAATAAAGTTATCATACTTTTTCTGGTGATCGCATGATGTAATTGTGCAGTTAATGTTACCTATGGTGAGTAAAATGGCGGCTCGTCTCTGATTCCAGCAAAGAGAAGAAAGGAAACAGTGGGGACGCACGTTCTAACCTAACCTAACCTATTCTAATAAATTACCATAATTATTACCAACCAAATTATTAGAATAGGTTAGGTTAGGTTTGAACGTGCGTCCCCACTGTTTCCTTTCTTCTCTTTGCTGGAATCAGAGACGAGCCGCCATTTTACCCACCATAGGTAGCATTATCCAATTGTGCAGTCTAAAGATTGGTGACACTTTGAATTTCATAGCAATTGGTTTCTGCGACAAGCACACCTATTTGTGGTACATTTATTTGTGGCAAAGATCTTATTTTCACTTTACCGAGTGCCTAGTAGATAATGTGCGGATTACCTAGATACTCTGCACATTATCTAGGTAATTTGAGAAATGGAACAATTTTCACAACTTTAATGGATTAGCTAGGTAATCTGCAGATTAATGAGTTTCGAGCTTTAGCGGTAACAAATCTAAGACATTGATGCATTATGTGTATGGAGATAAGTATTTAGCTCATGCGCAAATACTCTACATTCTACTGATATACTGATGATACATTTCAAAAATTAGATAATGAAAGATCAGGATGCTCAGTTTTATCTTTCAATGTAGACAGTAATTCTCAGATGAATAATTCCATTATCAACAATAGTATTATTCACCACAAACTTATTCCAGAAAATAACTATCATTAGCAAGTTATTTGTGAATTTTGCAATGGTTGTGGAAGTGGATTCTTCAAATCAGACCTGATTATCACTTACTAGGTAATTTATTCTTGCTTCTTGACAATGTTCTTGAACACAAATAAGTTACTGTGTAGTAATTTCTGACCCAAAGCCAGTTTTTGCTCAGCCAACCACTGTATTTTCCAGATATATCTCCTTGCAACTATTTTGTATTTCTGAAATTGAAATTACCTCTGAAAGGAAAACTTTTCAAATATATCTAGCAGGCTACACATCTACTGAAGAAGATATGCACAACAGTCATTCAGTTATTAGTTGATCATGTTATTCACTATCGATGCTTTAGATTAGGGGTCCCCAAACTTTTTATCCTGTCGACCTCTTTATAGAATATTTGCCTTCTTATCAACCTCTAGATTAAGTATTTAACAAAAACATTAAATCATTTTTGCATTTCTAATGTTAAGCGATAAGGTGTCCTGCATAACAACCCAACAAAAGAATTTATAGTTCCCATATCTTATAAAATCCATCCAATAACATTAACAGAAAAAGGAGATCTTTTTCACTGATTTATGATCTTAAAAAATAATAACAAAATTATGGATTGATGGAAATTTGCCTATAGTTCTTAAACTGTACGTGTCATAATACGTAAAATACACACTTATCTTTGAAAAAATAAGTTATATTGGATGAAAAAACCTTTTACTGTTATTTTGCAACTACTACTGAATTCCTTAAAAATATGTTGACATGCCTTTTTATTAAAATAGTTATTAGTGGGATGAATGAGTCTGAAGAGAAGCAGCAAGATTATTGGTATGTGGTTGAAAATTGGTAAGTTATAGTCGCAAATCACCACAGTTTTCCAATTTCAATCTGTTCCTCTTTTTTGTCAAATTTGCGTTTGCGTGGCTAAAACCAGCTTCAACTATGTATGAAGTTGGGAATGCAAGTAAGAAAGGTTCAGCTTCTGCTCTGAGCTTGGGATATTTAGTGGCAATATTGTTATTGCTCCAGAATTCACTGAAATTTTTATTTTTAAACAACACTTCGAAATCTACATATATTTCACTCAGTTCATCTTCTAAGCCAGGTTCATTACCTTCATTATCTATTTTTACATCAAATGGATTAGCAAACCATTCTGGAACATGCATATTCTCCAAGTCTTCGAAATGTGCTTTAAAGTATTCTCTTAATATATCAAGATGTTTAATATATATCTCCAAATCTCAGTTGGAAATCTTTTCATTTTCTTTTAGTACTCGCAAGTTTAAAAAATATTTAAAATCAGATCGTACCAGTGAAGATTTAAATAGCTCCATTTTTACTTGAAAGGCCATAATGATTTTTCAAGCTTGAACAATTTTAAAGTTTTTTCCTTGCAAACACTTCTGTACTATATTAATGATTTTCGATATATTACGATATTTTCTCTGTAAAGGACAAAATATCGACATTAGATATAAAATACTTAAGAGTGTCAACCCTACTAGAGTGTAACAGTGCAACTGTGAGATCTGAATTGCTCCTGTGACTAATTTATAATTTAATTATAAAGTTAAATTTTTAGCGAAAAATATTCTTTAATTTTGGTGAGAAATTTTGGTTTTCTAAACGAGAGAAACTGATAAAAAGCCAATTCCTGCAACAGAAGTTGAAACATCCTTTTGTTTTACCCTTATCTACTACAAATCTCAGCACCCTGGGAATTGTTAACCCCTCGATACATCCCCTTTTTCTCTGTTCACGTGAGAGAATCCAAAAGGCTGATTGGAGAACAGTCGTGAGAAATAGAAAGAATTTTGCATGATTCAGGGAGTATGCCAGAAGATCTCCTAGAAGACAGGCATATTCCATATTGGCTCCCTAAGGTCAACGCCCTTAGTGAGGAGTACGCCATGAAATTCCCGAGAAGGAAGACATATTCCATATCATCTCCTGAAGGCCAATGCCCATATTGGACTCCCATGTTTCGTTAAGTCAGTAGATAAAGAAGAAAATATATAAATGTGTGCCCTGCAAGATCTACCTAGGAAGAATTGAAGTCAATCATTAAAGAACAGAAGAAGAGAAATAGACATAGAGGTAGTATGATTACAGTAGAAATTGTGAGCTCTCTCTCTCGAAATGTTCATTTTAGTTACTCCATTTTTGTATAGATTCCGCTCATTTGTTTCATTAAATTTTTTTCTTTTATTTGTTAAAAATATGTGTCTCAAGTGTCTGAATCAAACATATTCCCTCCATGAATCAAACGCGTTAATCTGCATACCTAAATTTGATTAACTGGTGTCGAGGAATCTTGACGTTGGATACAGACTTTGCCGTCTATATCCTCTCTAATATCAACAGCCCTCCTAGAAAAAAGTTTAGAGATCTAATCTCGTGATTCTGAGTTGTGTAAGTGGTACCCTTAGTAAGTACTCTCGGCTAATCTCACACAACGTATGTCTGTGTATAATGAACTACCAGATTCATAATATGTTTGCAACACTAATACAGTTGCCAGATGCGTGAAAACAGAGTAACACATGCTTAAAGCGGCATAGGCTAAGGCAAAAACTCAAGTTATAACTAGGGTAGTCAGTAATGTTGTTGATCATATCCGTATTTCGAATTTTTATTGGAATATTCTATTTTTTTCCTAGACAGTTTAATTGATCCTCTTTGGTATTAATTGATCCCCTTTTGACCCTCGTGTATTAATCGACCCCTGGAACACTCTTATCGACCACTTTGGGGACCCCTACTTTAGATATATACAGTACAGTACTATTAACTCTGGAAAGTGAATTCAATTTTTTCAAATCTGTTTTATTTATTTATTTTTTAAATTGCCACTCATCATTCAATTGTTGGATTGTGAATGTTATTGATATAATTTATGTTTAAATTGTATTATCATAATCAAATCATTTTTAAAAATGATTGAATTGTGATAATATCTAGATGACAATAAATTTGAAAATCTTTAGATGAGTATAAATTTTCCTGTCTGAAGTTTGTGTGTCTAATTTGTTTCAATTGATACCTACAGTATTGTATATGAAAAAGTGTTCAGTCATATACAAGATGGTATCAGAAAGTTCTCAGACTGTAGCTGCTGTAACTATACCATTCAACTGAATTGTGTGTCCTGGTGGAGATCATCATTTCCAAGTCTACTGAGTGAGCATATCTAGTGATGTCATAGAGTGAACTTGCATTCAATTGTTTCATGTGGTTTTGTAAAGTAGTATGAGGATCATTCTGCAATCACGATGATGTATGACAAATTCAAGCAATGCGCATCAATCAGATTTTGTGTCAAGATTAGGGAATCTGCCACTGAGACACTGAAAATGCTACAGCAGTCTAGCAATGACTATTTTTCAGGCTGAATACAGGTTTTTGAATGGCATGCATGTTTTAATGCTGGTTGAGTGTCAGTTGAAGATGATGAGTGTTCCAGTTATCCAACCACCAGCAAAACAGAAATAAATGTTTGAATGTAAAAAATTTGTCAACTCATCCACAAGGACCATTGCCAAACAATCCATCAGTTGTGTGAAATTGTTGGAATCAGTTATGGAGTGTACCAAGAGATCCTCATGCACAATCTGAACATTGTATTGCTGCAAAGTTTGTTTCCCAGATCCTGACAGTTGAGCAGATGAGCAGATGCAGCAGTATTTTGACATGTGCAGGGAGCTTCGTGACATGGCTAATAATCACTCAGCTTTTCTGTTGAGGATCATCACCGTGAATGAAACATGGGTTTATGGCTATAATCATGAAACAAAACAGAAGTTATTACAATGTCACCTGCAGTCACCATGACCAAAGAAAGCGCAGCAGTTCAGGAGTTTAATGAAAACCATGTTTTTTTTTTACATTAAGGACATTATTTACTGAAAATTTGTTCCTCTCAATGGGATGGTTAATTCTGATCTTACTGTGATGTTTGAGATGCTTGAGCCAAAACTGCTCTGAACAAAACTGTGGTGCAATGACTATTGGCTTTTGCATCTTGACAATGTGCCCATTTGCATCTCATTGAATATGACACAGTTTTTGGAAGAAAACAAGATGACGGTTGTCCAAAATCCTCTGTACTCTCCTTTGCTTTGTTTCCCAAAATTAAATTGAGACAAAAAGGCATCACTTTGAGACCATTAACAAATCTAAACAGAATCACAGGCAGTATTGGCATGCCTTTGGGAAGCTGACTTCTTGGTATCTTTGAGTCATGGAAGAGGCACTGTAATCATTTTATGTGCTCATAAGGGGACAGTGACCAGATTTGAATAAGATAAACATGTAACTTTTTATAGGCCTAGTCTGGAAACTTTTTGATACCACCTTATGACAGCCAAAAATTTTATTAAATTTATCAAAAAGTGTAAATAGCCTTTTATTAATGTGCAAATAATTCTATTATGTAATAACATTATCTTTTTAAAAACATCAGATACACACAAAATAGAACTAAGCTTATTCATAATTTATTAGAAATGCGACCAGAGGGTCAGTACCTCCTTGGTACCTTGTCAGGACTGACATCATTGTGTCTTTAGGATAGACACAGAAACTGCAACTTTAGAATTTGAGCAAGCGATTACGTACACGAGTGATCGGATTCGGGATGGAGGAGGGTTGAGAGATGGATCGGAAGTGATTCACTCGAATATGAGGCTAATAGCAAAAATAACTAATTTAATGTAATGGATAGAATAAGGAAAAGAAATGATAGAGAGAGAGAGTTTACATGACATCACGTGTAGTTATAAATACCTGGTTCACAGGATATTCCAAATAGTCATGGAGACACTGGGGAGGCTGGGAAATGTCTTTGAGAATGTCTTTAGGGCTTTGAATGGCGATTAAAGTATCAGAAGTTAAAATCCGTCAGTTCTTCATAGGTCTTCCCGGAGAAACACAGGATGTTTGGGAGGAGCGGCAGTGGCAGACGACGACAATAACTCCTTTTGGTTGGCACTCAGGAATATTCTCTCGGACTCTCAATGACCTCTATTCCCTGAATTCTTCTTTTTATTCTTTCAAGTCACGTTGTCCTTCTTCACCAATAGGGAATTTTTTTGTTTTAGTTCCCAGTGACACATTCTGAGTTCCCTGGGAAAGGAAACAACTCCAGAGAAGTGAAATTTATTCATCTTCCGGTACTAAAATAGGAAAAGTTTTTATTTCTGAGATTTAATTAAGTAGAAAAATAATGAAAAATGAATTTTCTCTCGAAATTCATTAGTCTGGTTCCTCACAGAAAAGTGATCACACAAATTACATATTGTTGACACATGTAAAGCCCCATAAGAACCAGAAATTAAAATTTTACAAGAGCAATAGAAACAATTACAATTAATATTGTGTATAGTAGCACAAGATTTTCTCATGTGAAGGTTTACTATAAGTTGTAAACATGTAGTTACTAGATTTACTACCTTAACTCAAAAACAGCAAATGAAAAAAAGATTTGGTCATTTGAGGTTTCCTCAGCAATACGGATTGCTTAACAGCAATATTACTTATAATATGCCTTATTATAAGTAAGATTACAAACATTACTGTTGGTCAAATGTTTCTGAGAATTTTGCAGAACATGCATTCTCCAAGGGCCTGCACAATTATGATACAAAACTTGTTTGACTTGTAGTGGTCCTTACAAGGTTTCTGTGTGTCAACAACAAGTGTGTATATAAGAAAAACTCATTTACACCTAATATCTTCAAAAGTATTGAAAATAAACTGAAATAGTAAATTGTGTTATTAAAATACAGTGAAGAATCCATAAAACATCAAAAAAAATTTTTTTTGCTCCTTTTAATAGGATAGCAAGTTAGTAAATTTAAAATTTAAATGAAGATTTTTGTTTCTATTTAAAATTCTGAAGTTAATCTTTATAAGAAGTAGTTAATTTTTTCTGATCCCTGTTAGAAGGAAAATATATTTTTCTTTGTGTGCAATTTAGTAATATACTTTTTTACTGTTTGATTTTGTTTCTGATATTTCAGAAATTTAGATGAGTGGTCTGAATAAATTTGTATATTTTGATATTTTCTCATATTTGATACATTATTTATTTGTCAAATTTCTAGAAAATTCAGCAAATAATTCTCAAGAAATTTGTTCAAAATTTATTTCTTAAGAAATGTTTTTTGTTTTATATTATTTTAATAGTATATACATGTTTATCTTTTTATGCATTTTAGTGATTACTTATAATTATTAAAGTATATAAATGATTTCAGGGTAGAGCTGCTACCGGACTTCAAAATTTATGGAACACGTGTTTTATGAATGCTGTTATACAATGTCTATCATGCACTGTCTCTTTATCCTTATCGTTAAATTAAACTTCATCGATGGAACTTGATATAAATAGGTGTGTAAAAAATTAACCTTAAAATAATTTTTATATATCCAGGATAATTTAAAGTAATAATGCAAGCCAAAAGATGACGATTGAACTACAAAATATATACAACTTTTTATTTTTTACTCTCTATTATTGATATATAATACTGAAAGTTCTTTAAAATCTTTATTATTCTACAGAATGTTTTGATTAATTTCATATAATGTATCATTGAAATTGAATTTTAAAGTTGCAAAAATTTGCAAAACCAGAAAGAATTGACATTATTATTTTTAATCTAAAAATATGGTATATAGCATTTATATTAGGTAACCAAAAAAGTTCTGTCGTTTTTTGTGAAACTACAAAGTTTAAAGAATGTTAAATGCAATACACAATAGATGGCTCTAAAATTCCAGCAATATGTTAATCAAGATTTAATGCTGACTCATCTTATATAAAGAGAAGCGGAAAGGTTATCTCTTAATATTATAAAAATTGNCAGATAATCGATGCTCTACTGTTTATACAACTTTTTATTTTTTACTCTGTATTATTGATATATTATTATAATACTGAAAGTTCTTTAAAATCTTTATGATTCTACAGAATGTTTTGACTAATTTTATATAATGTATCATTGAAATTGAATGTTAAAAGTTGCAAAAATTTGTAAAACCAGAAAGAATTGGCATTATTATTTTTAATCTAAAAATATGGTATATGGCATTTATACTATAAAAATATCTTGCACAGAGTATCTATTATATGTCAAGGATGCAAATCATAAACAAAATTTCAAAACATGATAAAATTTGTCAGTAAAATTATAATAATCAAACACCTTAGTATTTCCAGCAACGAAGTATTTAATAAATTAAAAACATTTTCGACTATATTTAATAGTCTTCTTCAGTTAAGCCACTTTAAAATGAAAACGAACGTAAAATAGAACGCAAGCAATACAACGGTTTAAAAATTAAAATTAATTACAACAAAATAAAATGTAAAAAACAAAATTAAATTATAAATAAAATATTAAGAAATTAATCGTGGTAATAAAAAAAATAATAATTGTCGTGATAAGAAGATTTCCATGCGCAGAATAGACTTTCTGCATCTCTATGGTTGATGCATCCTTTGTTAATATGCACCTTATAAATTTCAAGTTTTTCAATATGTTTAAGGACTTGTTTGTTGGTGGCTGTCCTAATTATGGATGCTTTGTCCCAATGTACATTAATATCTTGATATTTAGCGAAGGCTGCAAGGAAGGTGCTGTCCACATTTTTAGTAATAGAATGCTTATGTTCTTTAATCGTCTGTTTTAAAAGTCTTTCTAAAAGTCTGTCCAACGTAAACGAAATTTGAATTAAAATGGTGGTCACTTAAAGGAATAGAATAAACTCCTGTACTGTTGTTATGGTTTCCTTTCTTCTTATCATTTTGAAAAATTCTATAAATTGTCGGATTACGACGATAAATAATTCTTAAATTATTCTTGTGAGATACTTTTATAATCATCGATTGTAGGAAAGGTATATAGTTGAGAACTACTCTTCGTCCTTGGCTTTTAGTTGTAGGTTGCTTATTTGTTTGATTACAAAATTTATCAATAAGAGCATTAATTTCACTTATACAATATCCCTGCTGTACAGCTATTGTACGTATGTAATAGCTGTACAACATTCTTACCAGTCAAGAATATGTAAGATGGGAAACAAGATTCAGCACCGCTAAAGAAAGAAGTGCCAATATAAAGAGCAGACAATTCCACAATTGCATTAAAAACGCAAGAGAATGGCTACATAAAAATGATGTAGTGCTGATCAAAGCTGATAAATCCAAAGGAGTAGTTCTTATTAAAAGAAATTCCTACAACCAAAAACTGCAGGAATACATCAGAGACACTGAGTGCCAACCTGTTCCTGACAAATATTTAGAATCACTACAACAAAGAGTTAAAAAATTCTCTTCAATCGTTTAGCTCACTATTTATGAATGCATAACTCTGTAGTACAAGCACCAAGAACACCGAGAATCTTCACCTTTGGCAAAACTCATAAGCCTGACTGCCTTATACAGCCTGTTATAGAGAAATGTGGATCCCCTACTTTTGCAATTGAGAAACAACTGATTAATTTTATCCGACCAAGGATTCAAGATTACCCATATGCTATTAATAACTCTGTTCAACTGGTGAACAAGCTCAGAAACATTAACCTTGAAGATAATGAAGTTATGATTGTGATGGATTTTAAATCTTTATTTCCATCTATAAAATTACTGCCTTGCTTTTGTGAGCCGAGAGACTTCCTGATTACTAACATTAATAATGCAACGGAGTATCACCAACATATTTTAGAGCTTGCACACCTAATTTGTTATACTTCGTTTTTTGTATTTGAAGGGAACACATATTTACAAGAAATAGGGGTTCCAATGGGGAGTCCAATATCTCCGTTATTATGTGAACTAGTATGATGATGATGATTTCATCATTTGGAGGAATAGTAATAGCGCTCAATATTTCCTTAACAAAATCAATAACAACCCATATGGTGTGACTTTATCATTGGAACAGAAAAGTAACATTAACGTAAATTTTCTGGATCTGTCCATAACTTGTAAATATGGGGAAATATGGACAGATATTTATCGAAATCCTAGCTATCTACCTATTATTATACCGAAGAATTCCTTTGATCCTCACAATTTTAAGAATGCAGCCTTTCGATCATGGATAAAGTGGGCCTATACCCACTGTACGAGTATGGTTGATACACACAGAGAATTAAATTACATACGTACAATAGCTGTACAGCAGGGATATTGTATAAGTGAAATTAATGCTCTTATTGATAAATTTTGTAATCAAACAAATAAGCAACCTACAACTAAGAGCCAAGGACGAAGAGTAGTTCTCAACTATATACCTTTCCTACAATCGATGATTATAAAAGTATCTCACAAGAATAATTTAAGAGTTATTTATCGTCGTAATCCGACGATTTATAGAATTTTACAAAATGATAAGAAGAAAGGAAACCGTAACAATAGTACAGGAGTTTATTCTATTCCTTTAAGTGACCACCATTTTAATTCAAATTTTGTTTACGTTGGTGCCACTATGAGACTTTTAAAACAGAGGATTAAATTAATTAATAATTAATTAAAGAACATAAGTATTCTACTATTAAAAACATGGACAGCACCGTCCTTGCAGCCTTCGCTAAACATCAAGATATTAATGTACATTGGGACAAAGCATTCATAATTAGGACAGCCACCAACAAACAAGTCCTTAAACATATTGAAAAACTTGAAATTTACAAGGTGCATATTAACAAAGGATGCATCAACCATAGAGATGCAGAAAGTCTATCCTGCGCATGGAAATCTTTTTATCATGACAATTATTATTTTTTTTTTTATTACCACGATTAATTTCTTAATATTTTATTTATAATTTAATTTTGTTTTTACATTTTATTTTGTTGTAATTAATTTTAATTTTTAAACCGTTGTATTGCTTGCGTTCTATTTTACGTTCATTTTCATTTTAAAGTGGCTTAACTGAAAAAGACTATTAAATATAGTCGAAAACGCTTTTAATTTATTAAATACTTTTTTGCTGGAAATACTAAGGTGTTTGATTATTTTAAGTTTGTATTTCAGTAAGTTATTTTAGTAAAATTATATTAAAACTTTTTGGCTAATCTAACATTATCAATAAATTCAAATAAATTTATCAATTAAATTATAAATTATATTGATTATAAATAAATGTTTAATTAGTAATAAATTTTTAATAATATTTAATATAATAAAATAAAATTTAATTTATAACTGATAAATTAAATTTATCAGTTATAAATTTAATTTGTAAATTTAGGTCATTTAATATGGAACTGTACTGTTTTCAATAAATACTAATATATGCTGACATTCTGATAATCTGTTTGATATTTTCATAACAAATATAAATTTCTATTGCTGTTTCCAATTAGCTCTTGCCTAAAAGTATCACATCTGGCAGCAGATTTGATATTTTTAGGCTAAAGATTTGTATTTGGAAATAATATTTTATTTATGATTATCTATTCATAAATCAAATATTATGTGGCAGTTGAACTAGGTATTCTTTTTTAATTTGCTCATTACAGTTGACATGTGCCAACATTGCAATTTAACATCAATAACAAATTTGATTTTATTGTTTTTATAATTACTGATCCATATTTTGAATAAAATTATTCTAAAATTCTTTTACAAGGGAGAATAAAAAACAGTTTGACTACTGTAATGCACTAAAGTTATGTCAAAATGTAGCTACATTATTCTAATAATTGACTCTCATGGTCACTCATCTGACCATACCTCTTGTAAAATGGTCTTGGGTTATGAAATAATATAAAATTAAATAGAAAATTACAAGTCTTTCTTTATTAATTGATGTTAGGATGTTTTATTTGATTAACAGAAAGAAAATTAATAGAAAATAAAGTTAAATTCAACTTTATATATATATTTTTTTTTATTGAGTATTTGTTCTCAAAAAAATTGAATTGAAAATAAAAAACTATGAATTATTCTGATTTCAGTTTTTTAAAATATTAATACAATAATTATATATATTTTCAGTGAGAATTTAATAATTAATTAAATGCTAAATTTTGATAAATATAATTATCAAAGTTGCTCAGAATTATAATAATTACTAAGTATTACATATAAATCTTATGGATATGTATTCTTTTAAATAACCATTTTTATAAAATAAAATTTTATATTTTCAGGGATAAGAAAAGTTCTGGTGGTGTAACTGAAGAATTTGCTATTGTAATTAGATCATTATGGGCTGGTGTTTATAAATCCATAGCACCAAAAGATTTCAAAGTAATGTTTGTTTTTTATTTATCTTAAATAAATTTCTAGGATTAAACAATAGTTCTATTTCATTATGTATACATTACTAAATTGCACATAAAAACTTGTTTGTATGCATATGTGCACAAAAATAAATGTTATATATCTATAAATATATTTCATATCAAATCACTATTATATAGGGTGTTAAGAAATTGGAAATGACAAATGAAAATGGCTGATAGAGGGGGGTCAATTCAAACAATTTTGGTCAGATAAACTGCAGGTTGCCACAGCCTCCTTATGAGATACAGGGTCCTAAACTTTCTTTGTTGTCAGTGTCATTTATCTTGTTTCATTGTATAGTAGATTTAAAAACGTAGACAGATGTATCTCAGAAATACTTAATAAAATATTCAACAAATACTTTCAAATATGCTAGTAATTGAATGTGGAATAACTACAAGACTTAACAAAGAAAAATATGAAAAATGTTACTGACAATTATTTTTAAATAATTTTTAATTATTTTAATCCACCAATATCTGGTAGAAGAATTACATTTGTAATAATATTGCTTTCTTTTATTTAGTATTATCTATTATTGTTTTATACATGGAACATTTACTTGTTTTTACTTGGTTGATGTTAGGATTTTTTTTCTCATATAAAATGGTCTCTCTCTCTCTCTCTCTCTCTCTCTCTCCCAATTTGAAACAACTAAAACAAAAGAAAGCCATGTTTATTTATTTAAATATTCAATATTTTGGATAAGAACTCTGAAAGTTGATGACCTCAAGGGACTGAAGGAACTGGCCATCATACAGAATAACTGTATTGATACATACATAAATGTGCTTTGTTTTATTGCATAGTTTTTATTAGATATTGTCATATGGAATATGGAAACATGTACTGTAAAAACACAGGAAAATCAATCATACGATACTGTATCATACAAAAATCAATACATTTACATATATATTGTTTCTCATGGTTTGATCACTTTAGTCAGTTTTTTTTTTTAATTCTTTATATGAAGGTAAGCAGAGAAAGCACTCAATACTGGCTATATCACTCAGCATACCTGGGCATTTTTCCACAGCAAATGACTTTAACTGTATTATCAAATGACTGACATCATCATCTTTCAAAAAGTCTACAGTTTGTGTCCTTATCTCTTAATTCTCTTTCATCAGTTACTTCTGCTAACACTTTTCTGCTGGGTTGAACTTTGGTCAATACCGATTGGAAAATTGGCTCTGATTCAGGTTCATTGCAGATTGCCATATTGTTATTCATTGCAACAAAATCTTCAAAATTTACTTCCTCAAATTCCACCATACAAGGTGGGCTGTCCAGTGAGGCTGCAACATCTTTTCTTGGGTTGTAACAAATCCAACTTTCTTGAAGCACTTTTGAATTGTTTCAGGCTGAACTTTATTCCAAGCAAAATTAATCTAATGGATAACATGCAGAGCAGTAACTGATGCAGCAGATATGAATACAACAAATAATGTGTCAGTGACATTTATTGCTGAAATGCTTCATGGACTTGGAATGGTTGCAAAACATGATGATTGGGTTTTGCATGCATTAAGTGAAAAAACAAACCAGATTGAGTATAATTTTGTCTGAAGATAAGCAACAGTTTAATTTTTAAATTAGTTACTCATTTTTGTCATAAAAAACTTTTTATGAATGACAAAATTAAAATATTTGTTATTAATCAAATATTTCTTTTAACAGGTTGTGTTTGTTTGGTCAAGTACTGAACAATTTTTTCTTGAACATGTAGGTTGGGAATAATTCAAGTATCAAGATTTCACTGTAGAAGTAATTTTACAATGCTTTCAGTAGAGTCTGAAACATACAAGGTCTATTCAAAAAGTATCGGACTTTTTTTTTCTGCGTAAACCAATGATGCGTGAGAGGCCTCCTTCGGTGAAGTTGTGGAGGGGACAGTTATGCAGAGCCCTGAATTTTTTCCCGCCTGCAGGAAGCGTCAGTCATTGGCAATCAGCCTATGAGTGAGGTCATGTAGTGCGCTCTCGTCGGATTCAACTAAGCTGGAAAATGACTGAACAATGTGAGCAGCGATATTACATCAAATTTTGCCAAAAACCTTGGCGATACCCGAGCGTAAACCATTCGCAAGATTCAGCAGTCTTTCGGGGACGATCCTTGAAGCCAAAAAAAGTGCGGCAGGTCCGCAGCAATATCAAAGGTCATGTTGACAGTTTTTTCGACTCTCGTGGGGTGGTGTGNTAAAAGTTATTAGTAATCTGATATTCCCATCTATAATTAAAATTTTAACATTGCATAGGATAAATTTAAAGCATTTTATTGTTTCTGGAGAATTTAAAATGTTCTAGCATCTTTTATGGCATTTTGAATTTTCCGGAAGTTCTGGGTGGACAATAAACCTGATAATAGGTAGATAGAGACACATTTGTAGAAGATAACGAAGATAAGACGAGGATACTTGAAAGATTTTTATGTAAAGTTAGAGAGATTTCGTGTTTTTAAGAATATCACTTTTAGGAACCAACCAAAATGGCTGAAATTTATTTTAACTACTTTAGGGAATAACGAAATTTCTGTATCCAATGGCAACAAGAGGCTTATGTCACACATTCGAAGTAAATACATTGCAGCTAGCATTGCCTGATTATTCACTAGGCACTTGAGACACATGCCTGGAGGTCCCGGGTCTCGGGGGCACCGAAATTAGGAAAAATATAAATAGTCAATTGTGTATTGTAATTTATAAGTAGCTTTAAAGTTAGACAGTATTAGTTTTATATTTTTGGATAATTATGTAAAGGGGCTCCCAATCTTATATATCTTTATCCGCTTGCTAGTGTTTTATGTGCTTACGTACAGTCTGATGCTCGAATATGCAACGCAAGCCTCCCCTTTACTGTTGGATACATAAATTAGTTAAGACAACATCTCAGATCGGAATCTCAGAATTTTTGTGGATAGTTTGACCTAAATACATTGAACCCCGATCATCACTCAATTATTCTCATTGTGGTTATGGTCAAAGCTGAGATAGACATGAAAAAAGCTTCTATTATTGATCACAGATCAGAAGGATCTTAAAAATGCCCTCGAGGAGGCCTCGATTAACTATATACGAATTTCCGGTCTAGACCGGAAGTCATGTGATTTAATAAAAATTCCCCTGTAAAGAGTTAGATAGATGGCTGGCATGACTTTATTGTTATCAGGAAAAGTATGATGTACAGGGGCAAGACACTACTAATTTCAGGTGGAGAGCATATATTTTTTAAATTAAATAAATTAAAAACATGATTAAAATTTTCAACCCGCATTGTGCGATGTTACAATAGTTTTTCCTTATAATTTTTATAACTTTTACTACTTACACCCCTGTAAAAACAGTATAAAAACTTAAGAATTAAAATTAAACTTTGCATACTTAATTACAATTATACAAACATTTACGATTTTAGTTGCAATATTTTAAAGTGTTTTAGTAGAGTTAATTATAGGTAATGTACCGGTACTTGTAACATAGCATCTGCTGCAGCCCGACTTAATTAAACATACATATAATAAAATCTATTGATTAAAAATTAAAAAACTATCGGAGGTCGTTTTTCACATCAAAAACTAGCTTTAAATAACTTTACCGAAGGAAAATCCGTGCACTACAACTTTAGAACAATGAATGAAATTTGATATCAAACTCTCATTAAAAAACTATTAAAAAGCAATTAAGCATGAAGCATGCGTCATTAAAGGTAAATTAAAATCGCAATAAAATTTTTTTGCACGGGAAAAAAATTTTGAAAAAATTTGGCCAGGTCCACAGATGGTAGAAATGGAATCCAACATATCTGGGATGAATCATTCCAAAAAATTCTGAGGGATTTTCAACCCACTTAGGTTTGTTTGAGTTTCCAGAGCAATAGGTTACCTTAACTGCTCAGTCATCTGGTTGTTAATTCAAATATATTGCTAAAATATTTCTTGTAAATTATGATTATGGACAAGAGAATTCCAGACAGAACTTTTATTAGATTGAAAAATGATTTTCTGTCAGTAAGCGAAAAAAATAAGCATATCAAATATATTTCTTATCATTTATCTATCAATGGAAGCTTAAAATTAAAAATAATTTATTGAAAAAAACCAATATCATTTGATATACTTATGCTAATAAGTATATAAGTGCACCATGATTTCATAAGCAATAGCCTTCTATCCTTTAGTTCTTTGTTCCAGATTAAGGTTACAAACTTTTCATATCTAAATACAGGATAATTGAAATGCAAAGATTTATTTGTAGATAGAGTAGCAGTAGAATATTTTTTCATGAGAATCTTTCTAAAAATAAGGAACAAAATAAAATATTTTTGAAGTTTTTAGCTGTAACAGTGTGTGCTTGAACACCAGAATGAGAAGCAAAATGTGGAAAGTATGGCAACCCTACTTTGCATATAAGAATTACTGCCAGCTACAAATTGAAAAAAAAAAGAACCATTTCTTTTTCTGAAGCATATATTATGCTTTTTTCCATGTATTTTAGGATTTTCATAGTACATTTATATATATTTTTAATGGTTTTGTAACATGTAAATCCAGGCCTTAATAATAATGTTAAGTAAATATAGTTTCTGTTAACAACTATAAGGCTGTAAATTTTTCGTCCGAAGGAGATTATTTTTTAATAAAATTGAAGACAGTCTGCCCAAAAAGGACCACCATTTATTCCATGTTCCAGACAATACATTCTTGGCAACAGATCTTTCCTTTTAGGCTACTTGTTGCCAGAAGTTTAAAAAGTCCTTTTAAAAAACACAAAATATATATCCAATTAAAATTACAAATAATTTCTAAAAAGGAACTGGTGACATTCAGATGTCTTTCTTGCATCCATCATACCTTCGTTTGGGGTGATATTGCTTTTATCTACTAAAAAGAAGCGCTGGAAACTCAATCTGACGAAAATTTACAGATATTTTTTTATTGTTGTTATAGCGAATTGACTCCATTTACTTGATTGGTAAAATCATGCATAAGTCACTCTGTTGATGTGGCAAAGTATGTTGATCCATGAGAGTACTACCATCAAAAGAAAGTTCTGTACAATTTTGAATTGGAAACAGCAGAGAATGTCTCACAAATGAGTGAAGATTCTTAGTATCCCAAATTCACATGTTGTGTTTGTTTACCTTACTGCTAAGATAGAATGCTGCTTCATCATTTAAATGCATCTTTCTATGAACCCATATTCCATTAGCTCTTGCAATGACTCAGAACTGTAGTCAGCCAAAAACTAGCCTAAAAGTACCACAAAAAAAAATTCACATAAAAAAATGAATTATGTAACAATAAAAACAAGACTTTTCTTTACTAGACATAACTGTTTACAAAATCTTTTTCCAAAATGGTAATGAGAAAAAAATGTGTGGAAAAATACTCTAAAAATTTCGCACATTTATTCTCCACTACTAAGGGGTAGCACCATACCTGACTATTCCATTGTTGAAAGGTTAAGATGGCCATAACATTTAAAATCCAACTGGGGAGATTCAAAATCAGTGAAAATGGGGTCTAAAACTGATGAATATTGCTTATTTTTTAAAATTTATTTATTTGAATAATTTGTTAGTAGTGATAACAAATTATTCAAATAAAGGAAGACACAGTTTCAGAATATATTACAATATTTATTTATTTATTGATCTGTAAATTGGTTATGTTATATTTGTGTGTTAATAAAATGGCTCTATTCAAAGATTGATTCTACAATGAAATACTAAAAACAGTCAAAATTGGGAAGATCTGGGAGGCAGTACTGAATGCAACAACTGTCATTGTGAAAAGGTTTGCCTACTTAATTTCAATGATCATTTCTAATGAATGTATGGCATAGAACAATACTCAAGTACACCTTTGCCATTCTCATTGGGTTTGTACACAGTCTTTTGAGACACACAAATTTGGTGTGTTTGTCTCAAGTGATCAGTGACACACGTGTATCACTAATAATGGAAATTAACCAATATGCAATGAGGATCATTTCTTCTTATTTCGATCATGTGATATTAGCATGGGTTACAGCAGTAAATCTTAAGTGGAGTGTCTATTTTATAAATATATTGTAATTATCATTTATACAGACATTATATTTGCTATAAACGATATTAAATGATACAGTTTTAAAATGAAAGTAATAATCTTGCCTATGTTTCAATAAAATAGGATTTAAGTAATATTCAATAATTGTCAATGAGTCATTCCTAATGAGAATTCCGTGAGGTTCAATATTGCATTTCTTGCTGATCATTTGTTAAGTTATGTGACATCACAACATACTCATTTTGCTTAATGACACTGCTCAGTATCACCCCTCCTGATCACCCTACTTTAGATAATGCAACTACTGGAGTTGATAAGGGTATACATTCAGACATTTCTTCAATAAGCTCCACACAGCTTTTACAGAAAACCATTTCTTGGCTGGCTCTGACCATAGACTTTTGTGGACTGTGCTAAATTGCTTCACCACCCTCATTAGACACCAAAGGATGGCAAGAAGCTTTCCTCACAAATGCAACTGGTTCTGTTAAATTGATCATACCATCTGAAGATTGAGTTTTTGGCAGGGTGTACTTTACCATATTGGGTATGAAACTGCTGCTGGACACTATGTTACTAATATAAAATTTTAGGATGCAAAATGCTTTCTCCTGTCCAGTAGCTACCATGTTGCAACAGTGTCACCTGATATCTGATGGTAGAATGATGAACTAATGTAGTCATTTGAGGAAAACTATGATGTGTTTTGTTAGATTCCTGCTATGTTCAAAATCTCCACAGAACATTTTTTTTTTTTTTTTTTTTTTTTTGACTAGTCTGGTACTATATC